GTGACACCAACTTCTACACGGAAACATCTCTTAGCTTCAGCCACCTATAAAAACTTATTCTTTGAGCCCCAACGGAAGCCAATACCGAGGCCAACTTTTCCATGTCCCTGCGCGAATTACACCCATCCGTTAAGGGCGAGTCGGATGTCATGATGATATCACGGATATTGCAGGTTGACAAAAGCTATAGCAAATTTTGCTATTCGTGATGCTATATTCCTTCCGCAACACCACGTCCAGTTGCGATCAAGTTCCCGAGCTAATTAACGCTCTCCACTATCTACAGCTGAACACCGTAGAGGACACGTGCAGGCTCATGATCCTCAAAGTCTTTGCATTTGCATGGTGCGAAGCATATAACATATAACGTATGCATACCTGGACCGATAGGCGCAACATAGATAGCACGAACTATCAGACAGTAGTGTTGTTTCAAATGAGCCGGTGGCCAGTTGTATGGTTCAACCATCTTTTCTGAGGGAACTTTTTCGATTAAATGGAACTCGACAAGAGCCAATGATCACAGTTAATGACGGGCCACATTCTTCAACAGGTCGCGACCTGTGGATGCACCCGATGGCATACAACTAACTCTGCTAACCGGAGGGTTTGCATAGTGAACGGAAACTTGTAATCCGCAATTCTCGTTCTCCTGTTCATGCATCTCTTAGCATTGATCTAAAAAAAAATCGAGCTTGTATTTTAACAGGAACCTGGATTTTTAGCCGGCTGTGATCACGTGCGATTAGCAACCGTTCCGTCCCGTCCCATCTCCTCGGTCTCCATCGTATAAAGTGCATATCGTCTTGACGCAATTCAGCTGAAAAACTCTACTCACTCACTCACTCACTCACTCACTCACTCACTCACTACCTATGGGTCCCAACTGAGAGAATAACTGCAAGCATACAGAGAACTCATACCAACATACGAGAATTTGGGGGCAGAGGGGATGAAATTACAAACAGCTTAGAACCAAATTGCAACTAGGTAGAAAAACCAAACTTCGGATAGCGTGCTCACACATACACACACACACACACACGAGAGAGAGAGAGAAAATCAGCCGATAGGTCAGCTGAAGACTTGACACGTTTACGACACAAGCATGACCAATGACGTGCTTCGTTTGGTTCTATAAATCACGTGAGTGATAAGTTAAGAATAAATTAATTTTATGCTGAATTTTGTCCCGTACGGAGTAAATGAAGCATGGAGTGAAATGAAAGGAAGCATTCTACATCTGTTACGACTTGTTTGGGTCTCATCACACGAATAATTCGATCGACCCAACTGGGGATCTAACCCGGGATCTAACAGTTGGGTCGATGGATTCACGCACTGCTGATGAGACCCAACCAGATCGAAACAGCTGTCCAGTGCTTCCTGGATTTTCTGTTCACGCCTCATTGTTGTGGCGTTGGCACCATGCTTGTCTACAAGCCGGTGTTTATATCACGAAGAAATCACCTTTGAAATATATATATATATATATATATATATGTATATTTACGAGTTTGTATATGGCATTACACCTCGCTAAGTCCCACACCTTTAGGATTGAAAATATTATGAACCTCATTAACTGTATGAGGTCGCGGGTTGGCATTGTTGTTGTTGTTGTTGCTGCTGCTGCTGCTGCTGCTGCTGCTTCTACCAGACAAAGAGAACGGATTGAATGCATTCAGACTGTCAAATCCTTTGGCATTGAAGTTTGCGACACGAACGGACAATCAGCATCATTATCGCGAATGGCGCAGCAGTGACCGGGAAAAAGATGTGCGATCTGATGTTTGCATCCTTGACGTGTAACAACCGTTTTTCGTCCTCACTCTGACCTCACAATAACCGTTCTTCTATATAGCCTATATTACTTAGGGATTTCGAAAAAGTCATTAGTCCAGTTTAGTTTGCGTGTTACTGTATCTATATCTGACCAGCTACGAGGTCATTGCAGTTATCCACAATTTTCAGATACGTGGCGTTCGCTAGTCCAGGCAACTGTACTGATTATTCTACTCCACAGCACAGATGATCAGAGGCAGCGTAGTGATTAGTATCTCTCGTACAGCGCTGTCCAGTCGGATAAGAAACGCCTATGCATGAACGTAAACTGACAAGAACAGAGCATTACTTAACGAACTGTTAGTGAGTTTTTGAAAAGCTTGTGATCTGTGGGACTAATCAAACCATCCATTGTCCGGAACATACTCCTTGATAGACAAGTAATCTGGCCCAAATAGACCGTTCTTTTCGTGAACCTTGCAAAAATAGTTCGTTTTCATCCGATCTATGGTTATTTTCCAAATAACAAAACATATTCGGTTGTAGTCGCGTGACCCCCTCCTCCCGGCTTGAATTGAGAATGACAGAGTACGAGAGTTTGAAAGCGAAGGATCGATAAATTAAAATATCACTATCATATGACCTAGCGCAGCTGTGGTCACCCCAATATTGTGACGATCAGGCAAACACAACTGGGACGGGAACACGAAAGATCGGACCAAGCCCGAACAGTTTATCTCCTCAACACTATGGGAACAATACACTTGACACCGAATGATCGTTGAACGCAATGGTCGTGCGTGAGAGCACTTGACTGCACACCTGCTTATTTTTCACATCTTCAATTTTATGATATGATGAATATGCACTACTGACGAGCTCTAATAAGAGCGAAACTCGAGTTTAGTGCTTCCGAGTGTATGGTTGAATCAAAGAACTGAGGATTGTGTGTGAATGTAAAGTCCGAAGGATAGTCAATCAAATCAATCGATATAGTACTGGTCTGACCGGGGTGGGGTGGGGTGGGGTAGGGTGGGGGTGATTGGGAATAGAAATAGATCACGGACTGACCTGAGCGTGTGTGCATCCGGCCACATCCCGCCCGTTGATCGAGCACAACTGATCCCCTTCGGATAGACGGGGAATGCACAAATCAGCCGGCATATTCGCCCCCACACGACTGACAATGATCGGGGCGCCGTGATCGGCTCCGCCGCGCACATTGAACCCGAAGCGTCCATGACTATCGGGACGAATACGGATACGGACCAGACCAGTCGGGTCGGGGGATTGATTGCTAACTGTGACAGCTGTCCCGGTCAGTGCATGGTCGGTGCCGGTTGACAAGACCCCGGCCAGTTCACCGCCCGGAGCGCCCGGGTGAAACGGGTCTTTCACAAATCCCGGACTGGGCGAAGGTGTGCTGGTTTTGGACGTGAGGACTGGCGTCACTAATGGCTAACAGAGGGAAGAAATAACCGTAACGAAATCGTATAGGTCTTCATAAATATGATACCACAAAAACAGCAACCCTGATACGAAACAAATCTAAGGGGAGAAGAAAATGCACGATAGTACCACCTGATATGACTCAAAGGCGTTAAAATGCACGGCAAATTTTCGTTTGAATGACATTCAAGCTTGCCATTTATACGAGGTGATTGAACGAATCGATCCAGGGCCGAATATATGTTATCGTTAGGATGAATGAATAGATAAAATATGAAATAGTTCCATAACCTAGTAGACTTTCAGAAAGTGGTTTGATCGAACTTGGCGTGAAGAATTGAAAATTGGAGTGCAATTAGGAGAATAACCAGAAGCCAGATTAACAATCGAGATTTGCTTTGTTTGACTCAACGATCCAGTAATGTGTTACCACACACACACACACACACACACACTCTACCAATGAAATGGTATTCGTTGATTGTACCGGTTTTGAATATGTCAGGGCTACGAGCAATGTCAGAAGGGTCAGCATAAAAATCGGTCGGGGTCAGAAGAAGAGAAAGATTCAGCTTTTTGGGATATCAACTGGAATGGAGAATACTTATAAAACATCTAGTTCTGCTTTCCACTGGATCCGGAACTGGGCTTCGGGAGGGAATTACCAGATCTATTACGTCACCCTTCGTTTTGTCGGGTCAAATAAACCAGTATGCAGCTCGNAGTGTGTAGTTGACCAACTAAACTGAGAATGTTGTGTGAACATAAGGTCTGAAATACGATCCGTCCCGGCATCGAGTTGACTGAAGATGAACGCATCTAACCCACAGTACTAAATACAGAATTACCGCAATGCGTCTTCAAGACCTGTTCGTCTCGAATTAGTTCCGCAGGCTACAAATGAGATTCACATTGCCTAATTCACATCGGGAGTTCAATTAGAAGAATGACCAGACGAAAGACTGTCGGATACGCGTACCTGACGAGTATCAAGGACCGCGAAACCGGTCGCGTGCTCCTGGGAAATTTTATTCAGTTATTCATATACTTCTCGCTCTCTCTCTATATATATATAATCATGTAAAATGGAAGAAGTGAATGACATTCA